TGTGTGCTCCATCCAGATAACATGCCATAACTTGGAAAATCACTTATAGTCCATAGCAATGCAGCTTTCATGACAAAATTCTGTTGTCTGAAACTATCATAAGTTTCAACCCCATTTGTCTACAATTCCTTAAATTCATCAATTAATGACCTAAGCATGACATCAATGTTTTTTCCTGGACTTTTAGGTCTAGCAATTATCATGGCAAGAAATATATGTTCTGACTTCATACACAATTTAGGAGGAAGGTTGTACACTGTAAGAAAAACAGGCCAACAAGAGTAAGGCGTTGCAGAGCAACCAAATAGATTAAAACCATCTGTACAGAGGTCAAGTCTAACATTTCTAGGTTCATCAGCAAATGTTGGGTGGGTTTCATCAAAGTGTTTCCATGCCTCACTACCCGCAGGATGAATAACTTCATCCGCATCCTCACGGCATTTCAAATGCCATGTCATGTGCTCTGCTGTTTTTCTAGACATGTATAGTCGTCGCAATCTTGGGGTAATTGGAAGGTACCACAAAGATTTCCTTGGAACATCTTTCTGCCTTATAGTAGACATATTCCTTGGCTCATAATGAGATTCTCCACATACTGGACAAGCAGTTAAATTCTTACTTTGCTCATCATAGTACAAGAAACAATCATTGACACAAATATCAATTTTCTTGTACCCAAGTCCAAGCACATTTATCATTTTTTTTGCACTGTAGAAATCCTTTGGCACCTTTTCTTGGTCCTCTGGACTCAACAACTTTCGACTCAATGACAATGCCATTTGCCAATTAGCAGCACTCATATTATAAAGAGTTTTCATGTTTAGCATTTCTGCCATCCATGAAAGTACTGTAACATCCTGTCCCCCAACACCTATATGGACTTCTGCAGCATGCAAGAGATTATAAAATTCTCTTGCCTTACTATTTGGCTCCTCAGCCATTGGCCTGTCATTGTATTCAGACTGTGCACCCATTGCATCAACTACCATTTCATGGTATAATGCATCTACTTCATTTCTAACAAACTCCATATCAGAAGATTCCCCTTCAAAGTTTCTTACTGTATTACTAGATGTCTCTCCATGAACATACCATGTATAATAGTTATTCATAAACCCATGCTTACACAAATGCACAGAGGCGACCTTAGGATTCTCCCATTTTCTACATTTACATTTCAAACAAGGACACTTAATCTCTGATTTTGCTTTCAGTCTTGAAAATGCAAATCTCACAAAAAATTGCACCCCCTCTTTAAATTCATCAGTAACAAAACCACTATCATCCACACGACGATCTATCCAACCACGGTCATCCATCATTTAATTACCTAATTTGAATTTCAATTTGACAAAGTATATTATCATATCAACTAATAACCATACATGTCAATAACCACA